AACAAGTAAATCCTGAACCTCCCTTTAAATGTGGAAATTAGATATAATCACATTATGTAACAATTAGAGGCTTGGTGCACAAAATTTGTGCATGGGATGGGGGTCCCCTCAGCCCAGCCTGCACCCTCTCTAATCGAGGACCCCTTGGGGGATGTCCAATTGCAGAAGGACATCCCTCTCACAATCCTGGACCACTGGCTCCTAATCACTCACCTGCTTGCCTACTTGGTCACCCCTAAATGCCCCCCCCCCTTTGCTGGCCTGATTGCCCCTTACTGGCCCCCCTACTGGCCTGATCACCTCCTACTGCCCCCCCTCCTCACACCCTGGTTGTGCCCAACTGCTCTCCTCTGCCAGCCTGGTCACCCCTAACTGTCCCTCTCTACTGACCTGGTAGCCCCCAACTGCCCTCCTGGTCACTCCCAACTGCTATCCTGGTCACTCCAAACTGCCCTCCCCCTGCCAGCTTGGTTACCCCTCATGCTCCCCTCTCCCCCCCTCTGGCTTGGTTGCCCCACACAGCCTGCTGTTCAGTCATTTGGTCACCCCTCATTAACCCCCCTGCCAGACTGGTTGCAGGCAGCCATCTTGTGAGGGTATAAGGGTTAATTTGCATATTACCTCTTTATTATATAGGATATAACATCAATAAGTATACTATTTAGCAATTGGGGTTAAGTTATTAAGATGTTTTCATTTTAAACCAATAAAATCAGAAACTCTGAACTTCAAATCTATGAAAGTACTTACTTCCAAATGAAAAACTTTTTAAAATTATCTGCTAGCCAGATGGAAATGGAGTATGCTAGATGGAGTCAACAGACTTGGCCTTAGAAAAGAGTTCGAGGTCAGGTTTTCCATCCCCAAATAGAAATGTTACTCCTATCTGCTGCCTCTCAGTAACAATAACCAACATTTATTGAGCACTACCTACTAAGTACTATGTCCCATGCTTTTAGATACATTTTCTCTTCTCATCTATACTCTAGGTATGTGTAGGTATCGTTTCCATTGTATAGACTAAGAAATTAAGGAACATAGAATTACAGAAACTAACACAAAGTCACATGGATTCAATCTAAGTTCTGTCTGTTTTTATTTTTTGTATTTTTTTTTCTCCCTCGCAAATATGTTTTTGTTGATTTCAGAGAAGAGAGAGGGAGAGAGAGATAGAAACATCAATGATAAGAATCATTAATTGACTGCCTCCTGCACACCCCACACTGAGGATCGAGCCTGCAACCCAGGCATGAGCTCTGACTGGGAATCAACAGTGACCTCCTGGTTCATAGGCTGATGCTCAATCACTGAGCCACACCATGTGGGCCTAAGTTTTGTCTCTTAAGATGATCAGTTCTCCATCAGACCATGGCAGACAAACCTGAAGAATCTGAAGTCCTATTTCCAGAGTCTCTGCTGAAGAACCAAGAGATTCTTTAAAGTTCAAAGGTCAAAATTGGCCACTGAACTACTCAGTGGTCAGAATTCCTCTGCAGCTGATGACACAAATACATCCTTAGGGGGAAATAGACCTCAGATATCAAACGTCAAACTAAAGACATGGGCTGTCGAGTTGCAGTAAACTGATTGCATTTCAAGAGAAGCGTATGTAATATACACAGGCCATCAGAAATGTTCCTTGTCGTTCATTTAATGTTTATCAAGTACCTACCACCTCCAGGCTGGCACTGAGCACACCGAAATGAAAAAAACCCTCAAGGAACTTACAGACCTAGTGGATGAGGCAGATAAGCATCCCAACTATTGCCAGGATTTCCAATAGATGACAAGAAAGAATGGCCTCTTTGGTGCTATGGGAGAGAGGAGAGGAATCTCTGTCAAATAATTTCAGGAGAAACATTCAAAACTGGGGTGGAGAGATGGGGAAACAAACTTGGTCATTTGCTTTTCTTTTCTTGTTGCCACAAGACATTGAAAAGACCTCAGATCCACTCCTGGTTTATACCCAAAATAATTGAAAGTAGGGACTGCAATAGATACTTACAACCCATGTTCATAGCAGCATTATTCACAATAGCCAAAAGGTGGCAACAATTCAAGTGCCCATGGACAGAAGAATGGATAAATAAAATGTGATGCAACATGCAAAAATAAAAAATTTAAAAAAATGTGATGATTCACAATAGATTATTTTTTCAGCCTTTTTAAACAAAGGAAATTCTGACATGCTACAATACTGATGCATTTTGAAGACATTATGCAAAGTGAAATAAGCCAGACACGAGAAAACAATATTTTGTGATTTCACATATATGACACCTAAAGTAGACAAATCCATAGAGACAGAAAGTAGAATGGCGGTTGCCAGGGACTGAAGGGAAGGGGGAGTTATTGTTTAATGAAAGATTAAAAAAAAAAAAAAAGGTTCTGCAGATGGATGATAGGGATAATTGTACAACAGTGTGAATGTGCTTAATGCCGTTGAACTTTACACTTAAGGATGGTTAAAATGGTAACTTTTATGATATGTGTTATTTACCCTCATAGGCCTCGGTCTAATCCATTGATTTCACAAGTGAGGAAACTGATATCCAGCTTCTCTTTGAGCAGAGACTGAAACACAGACCCCTACTGCAATGCTCTTTTGTCTGCCACACATAATAATAATAATAATAATAATAATAACTCATATAGCATTGTGCCAGGTGAGATTCTAAGCACTTTATATGTATTAACTCATTCAATCCTCAAAACAACTCATGAGGTAGGTGGTTTCTCCCTATTTTAGAAGTGAGGAAACTAAGGCAACAGAGAATTTATGTAATCTACCAAGACGACCCAATGAGTAACAGGTCTACTTACTGGTTCCAGAGTAGTGCACTTAACTACTACATTCTCAGATTTTTAGTTGTCACGTCCTACCCTCAAAGACAAGAATTCTATCCATCCTTAGGACAGTAGGCTGCAAAAATGTTCCCATCCCCTTCTCATCCATGCCCTCTGCAGTATGACCTTGCAGCTTACTGGATCAAGAGGCATAAACTACTCCTTCTTTCTTTGAATCTGGACTGGCCATGAAATTTGCTTTGGCTAATCAATGGAAAGCCATGACAGATGATAAATGGATTCCAAGCCCAACCCGCAAGAGGTATGGTATGCTTTCTCTTCTTCAGAACCTGCCTCTGTCCTGCGATGAGGTGTAGGCTAGCCTGCTGGAGAATGAGAGACCAGGGGAAGGGGAGTCCCGTTGCCCATCTGAGGCCACTAAGATCAGTCTACATTAGCCAGGGCCCAAACATGTGAGAGAACCCAGCAAGACCAGCTGAGCTCAGTCGAGAGGCAGGCTAATGTCTTCGGTTCTGCATACATATGGGCCAACTGCTTTCCAGAACAGTTAGAATGAAGAAAAACATCTGACTTGGGATGGAATCAGGCCAACAGTTGGCTTCCCAGGCAAAAGAAAGTTAGAAATGTGTGGGGTGTGTTTAGAGAACAGTGAGTAGCCCGTTGAACTATAGACTAATTGTATCTAAGGGGTTAATGGGAACTAGACCTGGGGAAGGAGGTTAGACCTGGCTTAGTTTCTACCTAAAGTGATGAGAAGCCTTTATATGTGTCATATGTTCATGTTCTCTTTACAATATCATAAAGAAAGTATTATGGCTTCCAGTTACAGAAAAGAGGTCCCACATCAGGATTTAAATATAGACAATCAGAGCCCAGAACCTGCCTTATCTGCTTATTACAAAGCCACGATGGAGAGACTGAAGGTGGGGAGAACATTGTAAAGACACCATAACGGCCAATAAAGCCATTGTGAGGGCCTGGCCTGAGGTAATGATAGTGGGGACAGATGGAAAACAATAGCTGTGGGTGACATGCAAGGGGATGGGGTACAGGACTAGACAGCAGATTGAGTGGATAAGGTGAAGAATGAAGGGAGTCTGCAGGGGAATGCTCAGATGGTGAGCCCGGGTGACGGAAAATCATAGGTGTCATGATCAGATACTCAGAGTGCAGAAACTGGTTCAAACATGTTGATTCTGAAATTCCCTGCATGGGATGAACAAGTGGAGGACGGCACACAGATTGAATGAACAACAGAGTTAAGGCATGAAAAACATGTTTGGGGTGATCTGCATAGAGCTAAATCTCACTGTCCTCGTGTAAAATGAACTAGTTGTTCCAAATGCTGAATTTCACCACGCATGAAAAAACAGAATTTCTATCTGTGACAATCTATTGAGTTTTGCTGAAAAGTTCTTTTTATTGGTAATTAAGTGGGAAGAAAAGTAATGAACTTGGATGTTACTTCACTCAATAATACTGAATTTTCTTTTTGCAGTTTTTACTGAGATTTAAAGTTTTATGATTCTTGTATCTATAAGCTTTTGAAAATCTAATATTTAGTCCCACTTTTAAAATGTCATTTCTTACAGATTTTTTGCTTGTTTTTTGTTTTGTTTGATTTGTGAGACCAAAATCAAATAATAAAAAAAAAAGGTTAAAGTTGCTAATAGTTATGGCATACCCACTATGTGCCTGGCATTCTGCATGTACATATTTTCTCCTTGAAATATAGTTTTGTGAGGAATGAGGAATGTTAACCCAATTTTACAAATGAGGAGATGAGGCTTACAGGTTAAATCATTTGGCCAAAGTTAAAGCTAATTAAGGGAAGTAAAATGAGCTTTCTATTTTATAGACTTCCTCCTCATTGGTGTTTTTATTACAATGTTGGCTAATAAGAGATGAAAGTAGTAAATGTTCTCTTTCCCAGAACAGAAGTGGTTGAGACCACTGTTTAAAGATTTCTGCTCCTATTCAGAACAGAAGATCTAGTGTGTAAGTAACCTGGGAGAAAGTGCCTCAACTACAGCCTGATGAGAAACAGATGTGAATTCAAATCGGAGTTCTGCCATACTCATTTGTAGCATCTGGCAAGTTCTTAACCCACCTGAGTCACAATTTTCTCAGCTGTAAATCTCAGAATAAAAGGTCATGTACAAGGTTATTATGAGCCCAGAAAGAAGTAAAAGGGATCAATGATGAGAACTCATATTGTCTTGAAGAGAGATGATGACTTAAAAAAGACAGAGAAAGAGAACATGTGAAGCATCTGCTTCAGGGTACTCAATAAATATTTCCTTTTTCTTTCCAAAAACTTTCCAGTTCCAAAACTTATGGCTGACATGTGGACTTTGAATAAAGGATATTTATCATTTCCCAATTTTTATGTTAATGATATTTTTATTGTATTTAAATTAGCAATGCATATCTGTGCAGCTCATTTTTTTTTTTTAGTAGCAATGCATCAAGTGATTCTTTCCAAATCTTTGATAAGTGGGTCACTAAAACATTGCCATATCAAAGTTAATTATTGGTCTGTGCCCATTAAAATGCATATAGGTGGAATATGTGCCACGTTGCCCATTCAGCGCACGCAGGAAATGAGACACCCACCTGTGCAGCTGACTCACTAACATCAACTCCCAGCACAGTCAGCACCTCTGATTCATTCATTCATCGAATAATTAATCTCAACTGAATGATGTGCACATCCAACGAAAATTTACATTTATAAGTAGCTCTTTCCCTGTGCAAGACGTAAAACAGTTTGTTCATCAGTAAGCTAAGAGTCTAGAAAGACACTGCTTTTAGCTCTTTCAACTTTTTCAATTGTGACTCCTGTATTCTTTCCTCAAATGCTCTCTTTTTCCCCCATCACAATATATATGCGATTGACTTATCCTCATTAAAGCATAGGTGAGTGATAAAGTCTAATGTCTCCTAAGGGTATTTGTTTACACCATGATTGGGATTAAGGTCACTGACCTACATGAAAGGAATGGGGTTCTCCTGATGAATGGGAAGCATGTGAAAAGCAACAAGAAAGAGCATTTTTAGTCATAAATCTTTATGTTGCTCTCCAGGTCAACTCCTAAACTATTGACATATGGTATGTGTACCCCTTCTATAATTTTCGTAATGCTGAGTACCCCTCGTACTCATGAGAATGTAGAATTAGGTGCAGCTAAGCACGGTGCAGTGCATATCCCCACCAAAATCCGGTGCAACACGTACCCCCACCAAACTCTTCCCGTATGTTCCCCTGGGGGTACGCGCACCACACTTTGGGAAACACTGCCATAGGCCATTGCCGGCACTTAAACCAGGATACATCAGCCACGTAGCCCTGAACCCCTTCATTCGGTCCCCAAAACACTGGTTTCATGAAGTAGGTGAATCACTTGCTGGTAGAGCTACAAGGCCTGGCTCTGGTTATGCCACCACCTCCATCACCATGACAGCTTCCAAGTCCCTGTCATTAGCTCCTGGATTCTCAGCTTATGTCCTGGGAGATATAAACCAAAGCCCTCCACTCAGAAGAGTAGTTGCCAGTCCAACAGAGGACAGCCACAGCCATGTGAAGCTCAGAAAGGCAAGTCTTTCCAGGACTGAACAAGTCTCTGTACAATAGTTCCCACTTGGATCTCCGCCTAAACATTGGCAGAGTTTTCAACGTGAAAGGTGTCAGTTAGCTGCCACCCCCAGGCAAAGTGCTATCAGGGGAAGACTGAGCTCGCAGGGGGTAACTTACCTGAGATCCATGTCTCCATCAACCCAGAAGGTGAAGATGTTAGAGACGGTTCCCCCGGGGCAGCACCCCATGATGAGAACAGCAATCGCTTGCAAGGGCGCTAGGGAGAAGCTGATGGCCAGGAGATAGGCGATAAGAGGCATGAGCCCAAACTGGCAGAGCAGCCCCACCGCGATGCCCCAGGGTCTTCTGAAGTGGGACCACAGCTTCCGGATCTCCACGGAGCACCCCAGTGAGAACATGAGCATGCCCATCATCACGGCTGACACCACTGCGAAGACAAGTTCCAGGTTCCCAGGTGCCCGCAGCCCCACTGGCAGCTCCTCCTCCTCCGAACTGTTGGCAGCACAGGCTGAACCGCTGGAACAATTTGTCCTCATCTCTTCATCTCCTTAAGGCAGCATTACAAGTGAGCATCTGCAGAGATGGCTGGGCATGTCTATCCTGCCACGTTTTGTAATAACTTCAGCGAAGTCACACGTGGAGAATCATTCCAATAGCTATGGGCCAGCCAGGTTGATTCACCCTAATCTGATCAATTCCTTTACGACTTTGTAAAAAGCAATTGTCGTGGCCATGAAACATATAATACACTGTGCTAAGTAAGGCTTTTCCACTTCTGGTCTTACTCACCACTGAATATTAAAGAGAAACGAGACAAGCAAACTCATTGTCAAGCGGAGTGATCTGGCTGTGTCGTCAGCATCACATTGTGTTCCAGGAAAGGAGGGTGGATGCCAAGATGTAATTTCTCCAAATTCAATGGGGATTTCAAAGAGCCAGGATGCAATTTTTTTCGGAGAGAGAGAGGCTAATTCTGTGAGAAAACAAAACAAAAAAAAATTTTTTTTTTAAAAATAAAGGCAATTAAACCAAAGCTCTGTGTCATTAGCAAAGCATTAGCAAAGAATTTCTGTTGAAAGTATTAAAGCCAAAGACTGCCAGTTAAGGAAATGGTAGGAAATACTAAGGATCGTTTCAAGAGTGCTTTAAAATTAGTCTCCCTTTTTCTTCTTTCCACTTCTCTTAAGAGTTTGTGGTCTAAAGTCAATAACGAAATGCCTGCAAGAATAATGTGATATAAAGCCTGATTATACCTCACGAAACAAGGAAACTCATTTCTGTTCCCAAAACAATGCAATGGAGCTGTCTCTTTCTTTCGGAAGATAGTGTGGCTTTGTGACACCACACCCTCCGGCCTGCTGGTGACGTCTGGGAACCGGGGTGGGGGTGGGGAGGAAGGAATGTAGTCAAGAGCTCAGTCTGAGAAGCCTCTGATGTCAGCCTCTGACCACAACGGCCCAGGGCCCCTCTGTGTGTCCTCACCAGGCACCGCGGGCGAAACCAGAGGAGGAAAACACGGGTCTGTGAAACGAAACCTCCAAAAACACAGAGGCCACGCCCTTTCTCACAGACAGCAGGAGGTTATTTGTGGGGCACGGGCTGGTGACACGGTGCACTTTATAAATGCCTCTGCCTGCCTGAAGGGGAGACTGGCTATGCATTGTTCATGGTTTGATGAGCAAATCTTCATGACAAAACGGGCTTGTTTACTGCATAAAAAAGTATGAGTTGAATACAAATGTGAAATAAAATCTGTTTGAAGGAGGGATAACTGCCTTAGGCCACAACACCCTAAAAGGCTCTGAAGGTGGAACCCTGCAGGAGGCCACCAGAGGTCAGAGTGGTGACTGGCTGTCACCACCTTTTGTTTTATGCTGAGAACAAGCCAGCGTTCATGCCCAGCTTGGAGAGCTCATCAGAGGCGATCCAGAGCCATCTGAGGTGTGTTCACACAGAGCCACGCAGAAAAATGGACACTCAGGGACCGGTTAAAGCTCCGTGCACCCGGCTACAATAACACAGAGGAGTGGTAGAGCTGAGGCGGGGGGAGGAGGGAGAGAACCAATTTGGGGGGTACCTACTGGGTGACAGGAGCATGCTAAGCGCTTTATGCATAGGTGCCTGTGTCTGACGAAGCAGAACTTTTTCATTAGGTTATTTCATAAGAGAAGAGGTCAGACATTTCTTTCTAAGTAACGTCAAGAAGCTCCTTGGCAGACCTTCTTTGTTCCTCGGAGAGCCACTTGAATTTACAAAGTTAAGTGGAGTCAGCACCTCCAGGAGGCATGCTAGCTGGAGGAGTTGTCCTCATCGTTGCTCTGCACAAGGTTACTAAGCAAGGGGCATGTGCGCTCTGCACTGAAGGAGCTTCCTAGAGGGACATGTGACCTTGGCCACTACCCTTATGACATTTACTGTAATCAGAATGCTTTAACTGAATTAGGATGGTTCCAACTGGCACCCATTGGCAGAAAAAGATACCAAGGTCCCATAGCCCACCATGAAAGGGATGTCTGGATGGGTGACACGTTCCTCTGCATCCAGTCCAGATGTCACACAAGGACCGAGTGGTTGCAACCTGAAAAGGGGTAACCTTAAGAGGCCACATCCTGGCAACCATGCTGAGTGCCAGCATTGGGACCAGAGGCAGCAGTAAGGGCCATCAGAGTGGGCGGGGCCAAAAAGTACCAACAAAAACCATAGCAGCTGAGCCCAGCTGGCCTGGCTCAGTGGTTGAGCGTTGACCTATGAGCCAGGAGATCATGGCTGGATTCCAGGTCAGGCCACATGCCCAGGTTTTGGGCTCGATCACCTGTTGTGGGCAGGAGGCAGCTGATCAATGATTCTCTCTCGTCATTGATATTTCTATCGCTTTCTCCCTCTCCCTTTCTCTTTCTAAAATCAATACTTTTTTTTTTTTTTTTTTTTTTAAGAAAACAATAGCAGCTGAAACCAGAGCCTACAGGTGACTGATCAGGCTTTTCCAAGTTTCTCTCCATCAGAGGTTAGAAAGAGTAAGCCCCTGGAGTTCTTGCTTAATTTGTAAAGGGTATCTAAAGTAGGGGATTCTAAACTTATTGGCATGTAGGAATTCAAAAGTTAACCAGACAATTTAAAAAGATATGAGCAAACCTATACCTTGGGGTACAACCTTACCCCCAGCTGGTGAGGCGGGTCATGGGATCCTACCGAATCTTCTCATCCATTCTGAGAGGTGCGTGCTGTGGTTCCGCACTTCACAGATAGAAACAAAGGCCTCGTGAGGCTGTGTGATTGGTCCAAGGTTACTAAGCAAATAAAATAACGACGGGATTGCAATCCCAGTGCTCAGCCTGCTCTCAATTCCCTGGAGCATGCTGAGTGGGAGCGATGGAAAGCAGTCTGGAGCACCATCGTGCCAAAAGACCGGCACCCGCGCAGAGGTGAAACACTCTTTGGCGTAAAGGTGAAGAAAACAAACAAACAACCCCTAATCTTTCATTTCACCTCATACGCTCATCCATGTGTAAGGTACCTGAACATGCTCAACATATATGCACCTGAATTTTGAGATCCAGTTCTACAAATCACAGGAAGTACTTCATGTATTTCTGTTCTCTGCCATGAGAATCAGGGGAGAAAGAGCAAAACCAATGGGAAGGCCTGTGCTCTTCAGTCTGGAAATGTGAAGGCTGAAGGGAAAGCAGGAAAAGGAAAGGTAATCAAATATGGCTGCGGAGTTGTTCTCCAAACTGAAAATTAACGCAAGGGGGAATTTCTAAAAGCTTGAAGGGCATAAAACAGCCTATAGGCTGGGTTCCAAAACAAGTTTAAAAAAATTAGTCATAAGGAAGCGGAAGCAGACAGTTTACTCAGACATCACATGGTAAAAAGTGTAATTCTATATTAAAAAAAATAAAAAAATAAAAAAAAACTTCAAAAAACAAAAACCACTGTCACCTCACAGAAAAAAAGAAAGAGATGGAGAGACCAATAATTGAAAAGAAAATTCACAGTTATTAACAGGCAGAGGAATCAATATCGCTAGTCATTTTTTAAAGTACATTAAAATGTGTTGCCTATCAGAAAGAAAAACAAATTTAAGATAAATGTCCCTTACTGACAAGAGCTGAGTGAAAGACACATTCTCATACACTGCAGGGTAAGATAAAAAAAATCACACACCTTTTCTGGAAAAATTGCCAATATGTACTAAGGACCTTGTTACAATAAGCCCAAGAAGCTGTCTTAGTAAATAAGCTGCAATACTGGCAAAAAAAAAAAAAAAAAAAAGTATTATTTAGCCTGCACCAGTTTGGCTCAGCGGTTAGAGCATCGCCTGCAAACTAAACAGTCTCAGGTTCGATTGCGGTCAAGGGCATGTACCTTAGTTGCTGGCACATCCCCAGTAGGGAGTGTGCAGGAGGCAGCTGATCAATGTTTCTTTCTCATTGATGTTTCTAACTCTCTATCCCTCCCCCCAACTTTCTGTAAAAAAAAAAAAAAAAAATGAATAAAATATATTTTTTAATGTATTATTATTTAGGGCAGATGTTCCCATATATAAAGGCATTGTTATTTATAAGTATAGTTTTATTTATAATAAGAGTATTATTTATAAAAGCAGAAAACTGTAACAACTTAAATATCCAAAGTAAAATTTAAATAAATTATAGTACAGCCATACAATGAAATATTATGGAGCAATTTAAAATGTAAACATGAATATTATAAAATTTAAGCAAAAATATCAAGATCAAATGATATACAATAGATAGAATTTTCAGTCTGGCTGGTGTGATTCAGCTGGTTGGAGCCTTGTCCTGTGCACCAAAAGATTTAATTCCCAGTAAGGGTATATACCCAGGTTTCTGGTTTAATCCCCTGACAGGGGGCCTACAGGAGGCAGCTGACTAATGTTTTTCTCTCTCTCATATTGATGGTTCTTTCTCTCTCTCTCTTCTTTCTTCTTTCTCTGAAAAATCAGTAGAAACATATTCTCAGGTGAAGATTTAAAATAAATAGCATTCTTCTAGCCATCTCTATATATTATATAAAAGCCTAAGCGAACAGAATGACTGGAATAACCAGTCACTATGAGGTGCACTGACCGCCAGAGGGAAGACACTCAATGCAGAAGGTGCCCCCTGGTGGTCAGTGAGCTCCCACAGCCACCTCCCCCAGCCAGCCAAAATCACCTGGTCATTCCCCCCAGCCAGCAGGCCCCAATCACCCAATTGGAGCCTGGCCTTGGGCTGGGACGGAGAACACACAGTGGGTGGTGGTAGATATGGCCCCTTTCCCAGGGATCCAAGGGCTGGCTCCCTCCTCAGGGCTGGTAGCCAACCTTCCACACCTTGTTCCTTTCCCTGGCCAGCAATCCCCTATTGGCCTGCCATCCACCTGCCATGATAGTGGTGTGGCAGCGAGGGAAGGGGGGGGACTGCATGGTGGTGGGGTGCCAATGATGGCAACATTGGCGTCTGGCGTCCATTCCTTCTGCACCCTGCCCAGCAACCATCACCTCCTCTCTGGTCCAGCCTTGAGTGGCCTGGCCCTGATTGGTCCTGATCACCAGCCAGGCTTAGGGATCCCACCCGTGCATGAATTTTGTGCACCAGACCTCTGGTGTTAAAATAATAAGCACTGAAAGAGATTAAGTGGAAAGGATGAAAAATTGTCATAGTGTATGTAGAACTATGGATAATGTTGACTTTTTTATACTTTTGTATGATCTAGTATCTGAAATGTCTGTGTTTTACTATTTTTATAATCTACTATTTTTATTATAATCATGTAATCATATACTAATCTATATATATATAAAA